GGGCTGCGGGGCGGGGGTGGCCCCACGCGTGGCCCGCTCGGCCGCTGTGCTCTGCGCCGGGCGCCGCGGGGGACCTGAAGCGCTACCTGTGGGCGCGCTACCGCGACGCGCGGAGGCGCACGGACGGTGAGTGCCGCACCCCCTGCAGGCCGGGAGCCTGCGGCGCTGGGTCCGAGCCGGGTGGCGGGGAGGCGCTGCCGGGGCCGCAGGCGTGTTCGTCCACAGCGCTGCCGAGCCCGCGAGCGAGTGCTGAGAAGGGCGGGTGACAGTGGCGCGGGCGGCCGCTCCGGGATCGGTTCCCCTCGGGGCGGGGCGGGGAACGCGCGTGGGCACTGCCCGGCTGTCTTCGGAGCCCGCCGCGGGTACCGCGTGGCCGTGGGCGCAGCCGGAGCTGGCGCGGTTGTCACCTGGGGAGCCCGGGGGAAGAGAGACGCTAGGGAGTAAATCCTACCGCTGCCCTCGATCGCGGCCCCCTTTGCAGAGGGGAAACGCAGACCCGGCCAAGGTCGCCTCCCACCCAGGGTCTGCCCGGCCCCTCGCGCCCTGTCCTGTCTCCTGCCCTGCGCTGCCTTCCAGAAATCCGCGTCGAGGGCTGGTGCCAACCCACTGGCTCTGCGCAATCGGGGAAGATTCAGAATCAAAATTTAATATTGATTAAAAATTGTGCTGGTGGGTGTGGTACACAGAGATCAGGAGAGTATTTGGTGAGAGAGAGCCTCTTAGGAGCTAAAAGTCAGCAGGAGTAATTTTCGTAGTGAATTCAAAGCACTAGAGAATTCTAGGCACTGGGGCTTTTTTTCTTATTTTCCCTTTGCCAAGAGTTTTAATTTAGCTTTGGCTGTTGAAGCTATTGTTTCAAAACGATGGTGGAAAGAAGATCTTAGACCACAGAAATACAGAATACTATTATCTAACCCGGCTTTTGGACAGGTAAGATTTAAAAAAAAATTCTTAAGCATGGATATAATCCCAGCATTTGGGAGGCTGAGGCAGGAGGATCCCCTTGAGTTCATGAGGCCGGCCTGGCTACCTAGTGAGTTCAAAGCGAGCCTGCACTGCATAGTGAGACCTGTCTCAACTAAAAAAAAAAAAAAAAAAATTATTGAGATGATTGTATATTTACGAATAGTCATAAGAGGTGATACACAGAGATCTGGCGCAGCCTTACCTGGTTTTCCCCAGGCTGAGGTTTTGCAGAACAACTGTAGGATATCACAGCCAGTGTTTAATGACACAATCCAGAGCCACCCATTTTATCTGTGCTTTTGTGTGTGTGGGCGGGTGCACATGCACACCCTGTGTGGATCATTCCATACAGTTTTGACACCTGTAGGTCTGTTCATCACAGTGGAGGTAAGAAGAGTTCATCACCAGGAGCCTGATCTCTTTATAACCATACCCACCCCCTCCTGATGCCAGCCCTTGTCCCCAGTCCAGGGAGCCTTATCTTTTGTTCATTTCTAAAATTTTGTCACTTCAAAAATATTATGTAGATGGAATCATACAGTATTCAACCATTTGGACTGCTTTTTTTTCTTGTCCCACTGGGCATAATTCTTCCCTGGGATTTTATTCAAGTTGTGTCTCTTGTATCAACAGTGCTTTCTTTTGTTGTTGAGTAATGTTCTGTGGTCAGCCATTTGTTTAACCACTGTCAGTACCGTCTGCACTGCCTCAGTCTTGGGCTATTATGAAGAAAGCAGGCTGCTGTCATAGGCACACACATTTCTGTTTCTCTGTATGCCCAGGCATTCAATTACTGGGTGGAATTGCAATTGCATCTTTAGTTTTATAAGAAACTGCAGGCAAAATTTTGCCATTCTGATTTTTTTGGACACGGTTTGCCACTTGCTGGTTGCTAGAGTCGAGGAGGTCACCCAGGTCATCTTTCTTTGTTGAGGTACTAGGGATTGAACCCAGGACCTTCATACTGAGCTCTATCCCTATCCCCTTTTTTATTTTGAGACAAGGTCTTGCCGACTTGTTAAATTGTTCAGGCAGGGCTTGAAATTGTGAGCCTCTTGCCTCGGCCTCTCAGGGTGCTGGGATTAGAGCCACACTCAAGCTTGGTTTTGTCATATGTGAAATGAGCATGCTGAGCTGAGTCTGGTGGGGCATGCCTGGAATTCTAGCACTGGGAGGCCGAAGCAGGAGGATCACAATTTCAAGCCCTACTTGGGCAATCTAATGACTTTAGTGAGATCCTGTCTCAAATTATACAAAGGGCTGGGGGTGAAGTTCAGTGTGAAGGCCCAGTACCGTAAAAAAAAGAAAAACCGTAGGGGTGATGATAGAACGGACGGGAGAGGAATAAGAGCCCCCACCCAAAGGTGTGTGGAGGCTGCCTGCCGCCTGCATCAGTGGAAGCACTGGACGGCCATAGGACCTGGGCTTTGGTGAGAGACTGAGGGGATGCTGGAGGACGGCGGCCTGGTTTGCTTTGCCCCTGACTTAGTTCCCTGCATTGCAGTAAGGACTTGGTGGGGAATTTTGTTGCTAAGTAACCGTCAGTGGTGGAGGTGCTGGGGAGAGGAGGAGGTTGGTTAGCCCCAGGGTCTGTGTGCTCCTCTTGGCAGGGTGGAGCCCTTGGAATGGCCTTGAGCAGGGGGCTAATCTCTCCCCGCTGGGCTTTCTCTAACAGGAGAACTAAGCTTCTGAGGCTTCTCCGGTGTTAGAGAAGGACTTGCCACGCCCCAGCACCTGTGCCTGGCCCCGCGCTGTCTCACCTGGAACACAGGGGCCAGAGCTTGACTTTATTTCCTCGCCCTTGTGGGGCTGCACATTGCTGTGTCCCTCCAGCAGCAGCCTGTACGAGCACGCACAGCCCAGCTTCTTCCAGCAGCTTTTACTAAGCGCCCCGAGGTGGAGCTGAAGGCCTTGATTCTTGGATGGGCGCCTGGCCTGGCACCTGTCTGCCCGCACCGAGCCAGGGACCCCTGCTGACCAGGTGCAGGCCAGGTAAACTGGCTGGTGAGCCAGGCAACCTCAGGGCTGACCCGGAGGGTGCTAGTGGAGGAGGGAGAGGTGCAAGAGGACAAAACAATTTTATTTTCTCCCTCCCTGGTTTTGGGGTTTTTTTTGTTTTTTGCTTTTGGTACCGGGGATTGAACTCAGGTCCTTGCACTTGCGCAGCAGGCGGCGAAACCACTGAGCTAAAGACCCGGCCCTCTCCCTCCCTGGTGTTGACAAAATAATTTATCTTCTCATTCTCTTTGTGGCCATTTGATCTCTTTCCTTAATCAAGCAGTCCATTCAGGCACCTTCTCTCCCAGAACAGAGATAGGCTCTTTCCAGTCTTTGTTTAAAACCTTCTCTCCCAGTCTTCTATTTTTCCATTTGAACGTAAAGATTTAAAGAAGAAGCTGTTCATTTGAGATCAGTTTCTGTAAGCCCTAAACTCGTTTTCCCTGTTATTAATCCCTCATGTTATGGTGCTGGGTTTGTCACAATTAATGCCGCATCACCATCGTCAACTGAGATTCCCTTAGTCTTCCCTATTGTCCTTCGCCTGTTCTGGGATCCTGTCCAAGCCGTTCTGGAGTGGCTCTCAGCCACCTCAGGTGCCTTTGACTGACATTTCCTGGTTTGCAGTGACCTTCACCATCCTGAGGAGGACTAGTCACTCTCTGCAAAGCTTGAGACCCTCCTGCGTCCTGTATGCAACTCAGCTCAGAGCAAGGTTGCTTGCAGTTTTAGGAAACAAAGTGCTGCTTTCTCACCTCTGGAGAAAGTTTAGCCTCTGCAGTGGAGCAGTGGCAAGCCCTGGAATGCAGAGGGAGGCTGGCCCTGCCTGAGGCCTGGAGACCTTTTGTTTGTCACAGCGTGGGGAGAGCGGTGCTTTTTAAATAGCAGGACAGATGTTTCCTCGAGGCTGGGAAACGTCTGTGTGGTTGTGATTTAAAGCACTTGCCATGTTCTTGCCTGGTCTGTGATTTTCAAGGTGACGTGTGTCATTCTTGTCACCTTTGGTGGTGACCCCAGATTTCCTCGTGTGGAGCAGAAGCATCCCTGCCTCTCCAGCTTTGCATTGAGAGGATGCATGTGTGTCTCTTCCCTTTTTCCTTGAAGTGGCCTCAGACCTGGGCAGTTTAGAGTATCTGGCTGTGTGGCTGAGGCTGCAGTGTCCATTAAGCTGTGGAAAGACGCCTGGAGGTTGGTGTGAGCGCTGGAAGCTTTTATATAGAGTGCAGGATTTATTTGAAGTTCTGGGTTGAGAGCATTTAATAATCAGAAATCAGGTATTTAGGGAGGACTGTATATAGCCCAGCAGTGCAAGGATGTCATATGCAAAAAGCGTAAGAAGGCTAATAATGATAGGTAACACATACCATGAATGATAGTAACAGTAATGAGCCTGAATGCCTCAAGGAACTGCGTGGGCTACATGCAGTCTTGAAAGCCAGGGGTGGCGGTGCACACCTGTAATCCCAGATCTCAGGAGGCAGAGGCAGGAGGATTGCTTGGAGTTCAAGGCCAACCTGGGCTACGTAGCAAGATCCTGTCTCAAAAAACCAACGCCCCAGAAAACCATGAATATCCAAGGCAGGAGGTAGCTTTAGTGATTCCCAAATACATTTGATCATGGAGCCCCATTTTTGAGATAATAATTTTGTTTTAAGATCCTAAAGGATATACCTGGGGAGTTCTAATAATATGTTTAGCAACAATATAGGTCAGCAATACAAGCAGTAGTAGGCTTTTCCCAAGGGAAGGGTGGGGTCCTCTGCGGACTGGAGAAAGTGGTGTTCTGTCCTTAGGGATCAGGCCCCACCGCACTGGCCCACGGCATACCTGCACGCACAGGAGGTGTTTTGTGTGTGATTCCAGGGGTCCCGAGGTCCTCTGGCAGCCTGGGAAAGTGGACAGCGAGGCTGATGCGTTGCTTGTGCTGTCAGAGCTCAGCGCCTGCCCTCAGGGGACCCTGGGCCTGCCCGTTGATGCTGAAGCCTGGGTTCTCCTTCTGAGCACTGGGTCAGCGGCTGGGCAATCCCGTGCTGGAAATTGACTTGTGCTAGGGCCTGAATCCTGGGCAGTGGAAAGAGGAAGTGAAAGGAGGTAAGACAGTAAGAGGTTAGTGTTAGTAAGAGTAAGTGTAAGTGTAGTAAGAGTAGGTGTTAAGTAAGTAA